TTATTTGCTTTTTTTTATTTAAAAGGGAAAACAAACAGACGGCTTGATGGAATGTGGGCATCATTGCCCATGGATTGCAATGTAAGAGGTGTTACCAACCTTGGTTTTAGGAGAAGGAGAGGAACGGGTAGGAAAAGTGAAAAGGCAGGAAAGGGTATGAAAAGGGAAAGGGCTACCGGCTCTCTCAATCGTCAGTCGAAACACAGCTATTTAAGACTACTTCGCGACGATGTTCGGTGGGAGGTTGATACTTCTCCCGTCGAGCCAGCCCACGGTAAGGATGTAACGACTTGACCACAGCCAGGCTCTACCACCATAAAAATAATATCCATGCAACCAAAAACATGACAATTAGTTTCAGCTACTGTAAGCAGCATTTGTTGTTATATTCAGAAATTTACATGTCAACATTTTTTTTCTCTATAACACGTACTTAAATCATACTGTTTTAATCCAATCCACGGATAATTACGAATTTTTCTTTGAAATTTATGCTGTTTATATATTTTTACCAACATTAATTTGTTGAAGTAAAATAATATATATTTTGTTTATAGCTTGAGTACTCAACATAGTTGAATTTAGGATGACAAAGCACCTAACTATCAGTAGAAGATAGCTTTTAACTTTCTTATATTCGCAGATATATAATTAGTAATTACTTTTTCTGGTAATTAACACTTTAGTAGAAGTTGGTGCCAAAATCTTATTCTAATGATAAAATCTAAATAGGCTTAAAATTGAGAAACGATAATTAAGTTCAACATTTTTTATTATTATTAATTATTTCAAGTACATATTAATAGTATAATATACGAGGTTCACATTAATAACTAAATAAAATACCTTTCTCGATCTTACATAAAACACTGTTATAACTGATCACAAGATAAAATAAACAACATAGTAAAGTAATACAAACACTTTATTCCTACTTTAACAAATTCAAAATAATAAAATCTCAAAGTCGTTAGGAAGTTCTTAATACTATAAGCGTTCTTTTTTGTCCACCAAGAAGCAAGAAAAAGCGAAAGTTTGATTGCGTTTAGATTATTATTCTTCAAAAAAGTTTACGCATTAGGGGAATGCTGTTTTAACTAACTACGTCTAACAATTTTGGCTGTTAATTACGACTTAAGAAGATTAATAATATCTATATTTATATAATCTTATAAATATGGGTAATGAATAAATAAATAAAACCGGAAAAGTATAATAGTAAACCCAAGTTATTTTAGTAAATCAAAAGTGTTATTTATAGAAATTTCAATATTTCTAGCCTTTCTAGGAAATTAATCATTAACTTTTTTCAATCTGAATAATATGCAAAAAGAAAAAAACGAATCTACCGATCTCCACAAATATTAATAAAGATATACATATATTTTTACACAATACCAAAAATTGATATTCTTATTTTAGTTCATTCTTTTCCTATAAAATATTAGATAAATCAAATATTATAATGTTGGCCATTTAAAACGCTGAACGGCTATAAGACTTTTATTTCTATCATAAATTATATTAATTGTATTTGCAAAGGGTTAACGACGACAAGGGTGGGAATTGTGGCAGTCATTAGGAATGTTGATAAATGGCGAAACGTTGTCTATAAGAAATTTTAAGAACATTATCGTACTTTTTTGTTTCATTAAATTGATGGATGTATGTTTAAAACGACAGTTAATAATTTGTTCAAATTTAATCTACTATAAATAACCTTATTCTACTATATATAACCTTATTTATGTAAAAGATTCACACAACTTCAGAACTCACTTTATAATATTGCCATCTTCTTATTATAATTTAAACTTTTAACATATTTTAAAAACAATTTTTAGTTTTAAGTTCTTATGAATACAAAATAAGTTGTCATTTGTGAAAAATACTGTACTAAAATGAGTTCTTAATGAAACGTTTACCATCGTGGTCTTATCTATTTTATGTTTTTCGATAAAAAGGTTCAGGAATGACTTATTTTAAAATCAGTATGCATAATATGTGAAATGATAGGAATAAAATAAATATAATGTTAGTGAGTCTCGTATTTATTTTTTGTACACAAACTCATTGCTTATTCTGATTTTGTTTATAATGTTCATTTATCATTAGTAACTGAGACAGATCTGTAAGCAACAATGCTTATTATATTATTCAAAGTACACATTTAGTGAAAATGTAACAATATGCATACAATATTACAAACCTTAAGAGGATTACTATAATTATTTTTGCATCTCGCCTGCCCGTTGTCACTCGAAAAAAATCGGGTGTGTAGTTTAAAATAACAAAAAACGCGTTGTGAATCTGAATATATTAGTTTTATTTAAATACTATAATCAATTATATTTAATATATAAGGAAGGAATAGGAACATAAAGTAACTGAAATATGCATTTAACGTCTAAATTTTAAAGGTCCAAAGTAAATATTAAATTTGTGTTAATTAAGAGCATGAAATGCAAATGACATTCTGAATTGACTTTGTTGTTTTAGTACACCAAGTTAAAGGTTTTACGTAGAAATACTAGAATACTTATATATAATTAGAATCAAATTCCACTTTCTCACAAAAATGGTTATCGTATAGAGTTGAAAATGATGTTTTACTATAATAAATTAATTGAAGCGAATCTTATGTATTTTTCAAATTAAATATTAATTATTCTTAAAATAAATTGGCAGAAAAATAATCTTAAAACCTCAGGCAGTAATGCTATAATTTTAATGAAAACTGATTTTTTCGAATGTTTCCTATTTTTTAGGTTGTTTTCTAATCCCAAATAATAAGTGCACGCTTATAAAACAGATAAATATTTCTCTTTATGATACAGAATACATGCAAAGACTATATATATCAGTGATTTTGAAAACCCTGCCATCTTTTATTCTGAATAAAAACTATATGGAGGATATTTAAAACAGTTTATCAACTAGGGATTAGTATACTTATGTAGTAGTTCAAAGAAAATTGTATAGATGGCGCTTAGGTAAGAAATTAAAATGTTAACATGAAAAGCTGTGCTATTAGAACGTTTTTATACCTATTAAATAAATTGTGAGAATTTTATTTTCATGTTATTGTTGGCAATAAATATTGTTTGGGATGGATTTTTTTCTTGATGTTAGTAGTACATTTTATGATAATCTTTGTGATTTTTGTGTAAAAAAATATTTGAATATTGTTTTGTTATTTAATTCAAGGGAGAACAAAAACATTAAAATTCAATAGCATTAAATTTGTCCAGATTCTTTAAAAATGTTAGTTACAATTCAGTATTAGAGAATCGTATAAAAAAAATCAAGTTAACTTGAGAGAGAGATATTTAATTTTTCAAAATTATATTATTACCCATCATTCCCAGTTATAGACGTTTTTTTTAACTTTAGGAACGGAGCTCTGAGGTCGAAATGACATTGATATAAGTTTTTCACCTACCTGCAAAAATTTATATGTTCTAAAAAAAACAAATTGATTAATAAACATTTACATTATATAAAAAGTTTCCAATAAATTATCACTAATTGTAATCTAGATTAAGCGTTTACCACGCGTCAGATAGGGGCCCCTCAAACCTACACCTGGGTCGCAAGTCCCAGGCACTGTTGACGCTTCTCTCGTTGCCACGATTGACCCGGCACCCGCACGGGTAATACATGGAATGCTGAAAGGTTCGTCTCATATTATATTAAATTGTGGCTACATAGATAGAAAAGGGTACATGGCTTTTCCGTTTTATTTACTAGCTTGTTTGAACTTTGAATTTAAGCCATAATTTTAATGAGCAGGAACTTCTTTTACATATATTTTTTTGTCTGACATTAATATTTGCGACATCATAGAATATAGTTTACTTCTTATAACAAAATAATAAATAAGTTATGTACAATCAAAAGCATATGAACATAAGAAATTAATTTACGAAATTCATTCAATAATGTCAATAACACGGTTGACTAAGTTAAGGATTGGGACATTTTCGAATTCTGATTGAAAGGAAGTCAAACACAAATAATTTCAGTGGGCTTTATTAACGTAACTTATGATTTAAAACGTTTCTTAAAAACGTGTTCAAATAAAATCTTATAATGAGAACCATTTTATGAATTTTCTGTTAGAAAAACAAAACAAAAAAAACTTTTATACATTTTTAATGTAACGTACCAATTGTATGAATATTTGATATCATAAAACCCCAGACATAAAATGAGTAGGCGTCGTACGAAAACTATTAACAAGTGATAATATATTCTGACCTACCAGAAAATCATTTCAGTGTTTCATTATTTCATGAAAAATCAATAATAGGGCGTATCATATCATTACATCTCTTGCATTCTCTTCTGTCTCTTTCCGAAATAGTGTTTAAACGATATAGACATCTGTTAGAGGCTGGTTTGAGTGCAATAGCAGTATAGCATTGACGAACACATTTAACATTTGTATCATCGCTTGGATATCATTAAAAGATCGCATTGAGCTCTGTCAGACAAAGAAATCGATATGGAACTATAAATACGTTACAGGTCTAACATAATCAGAATATGAAGGTATAAATATAAAATAATTAAATATATAAACAGTTTTTGCTTATTTAAATTCATATTAAAGCGTTGACATCTTTATAACTCATAAATTTTTTCTTATAATAAAATATCTTTTGTTTGAATCATTTTCCAATAAAAAGTTTATTAGTAATGTAAATCTATCGCTGAGCTAAGGTCTTGTAATATTTATTACAAATAATGCATTAATAATATTAGCTAAGAACCAATGCGGGTCTGATTTTAATATTTCAATCATAATATTAGGTCCTTAATAAGGACGATAATTACAGAAAAATATTTTTTGTATTACAATTCATTGTTATGCTATAAATCTAGTCGTCAAAGAAAACGACCCTCAGTAAAAGTTCGTTTGCAAATTGAGATGATTTCAGAATACACCTGCGGCGTTTGTTTAAAGGCGCATGCGTTAGAACATTGATTTTTTGAAGATGCCACATAAGCCCATTCCGCTGGTGATAATCAACCGGTGAGTACATTATCATTGAAAATAGTACCCGGACCATTAAAGTCAGACTAAAGAAAAGTGCATGTACCTTGCCGTGGCGTTGATTATAATTATAGCGAGTTTGGTCAGGCTGCAAGTAAGTCGGATTTTGAATTATTGGATTCTTATTTATCCTTACAACACAATTTCTACTCTGTGTAAGTAAATGTTTAGTGAATGAATTAGCTATCTATTTATTATTTTTATATTTCCAAAAAATGCAGCCTTTGCCAAACCTTTGCTTTTGCCACATTCCAAATGAAAAAAAATTTTACCTTCTCATTTTTTTTTTATAATTTAAGGTACTCTATGTATGGTATTTATATACATTAATTTCGTTTTATATTCATCCTAGCACAATAAGATATTGTTTCACGTGTAAATCTTTTTTATTGCACATATGTGTTTGTAAGACTCTTCAATTGCGATTTTCAATACTTCTATTTCATATAATATTATTATTATTTACAAAGGATATAATTATTGTAACAAATTGATAAAATTGTCTGCCAAGAAGTGTGCAACAGGCTGAGACTGCGCAGTAGGGACATAGACTTATTGTTATAATATGTACTTTGTAACGTCAAAAACAATAAAGTTTCGTTTATTAAATTCATAGGAGGTTTATTCTTTTCATTTAATTTCTTTTGATTCAATTAAAGAATGTTTAGATTTTTTTATTCGATCATAAAAAACGCATCATGTTGCATTCGACAAATGCTTAAAACAACATGGTTGCAAGACCTGCGCGATGCACTCCAAAGTATTGATGTTTTCGGCTCACCTTTGACCTTCATCGTCCTTCGTTTATACCTAGTTTAAGATCTATCTATAGCGAAACAGTATTTTATTAGCTTTCTTTGTTTAGTTGTATATTATCCATTGAATAATATATATCATAAATGGTTCATCATTACAAGTCATCTATTTCTTTTGTGGGTCTGTCTCATTTTGAATTCACAAATGGAGATTTTTTTTGGCCAAAATCTTAAAACAATAATGATACATTGCGTGACATAAAGTATTTTGTGATTGAAATAAAGCAAACTTGTTAATATGACATTAAAGTTGGAATAATGAGACCTTTGCCAATTTATTTTGATAGCTAGTCATTCCGATTTAAACAAAAACAATATATGGTCGACGTAATCAAAAAAAGGTAAAAAGAATTGTGATAGGGCGTGGACTTGTAGACATTTCCAGTACGCAAGTACCGATGCACTGATGCAACGATAAATCAATACGATGTTTCCCAATTTTAGAGCGAGATCAAAACAGGGTAAAAGCTTATAGGTATATAATAAATAGGTTTTAAATTCAATGTGGTATATAGAAATACTTTACTTTACTTTACATGTGGTATATAAAAGTATTACTATGCCTGTTTTAAAACAATAGATTAGATTAGATTGATTTATATTTTCAATTGAAACTACAATATTTTTCAATTAAAAATATTTGAGACATTTATTAACTCGTGAATTTAGGTAAAATATATCGTTTCTTACATTCAAAAAAATACTTATACTTATTTATATACAATTTCCTTCTCTTATATTATTCGTGGCCGCCATGTCAATCCTAGTAGAACAAAATACAACTTACTATAACACTACGGATGTATTCAATCATAAACGCTTTTGATGAAATTGTCTTTACTCGTTGTTATTTCGACTAAAACGATTTTTATGAAAATAATCTCGTATTTGGCGTGGATACCCTCATTACCAACATGGTCTAAGTGCTTTTTTGATAATGTTTGTAGGAGTATCGAGCACTTCGCCCCCGCGACAGATTACATCATAATGATGGAGCAACTCAACCAACGTTCATTATTGAAATTTGATTTGACGGCTTAAATATGAAGTACTTAATAGCTAAATATAAATATGATATATCATTTTATATTTTCAATACTTCATATATGTAATATAATAAAAAAAAATCTTTAAGAATACATTTTATTACATTTAAAAATTTCATGATATAATATTCAATATAGATTGAAAGGTATATCATCGCATAATAAAAAAGTAACAGAATCCATTCGATATATTTTCAGTCATGATTACAGTAATAAAACATTTAAATTCAACTAAAAATAGTAGTACAATGTTGACAACGATGGTTGTGAAGGCGGAGGACGCGCCGCCCACGACCGGCGCCCGCGCAGGTTGCCTCGCTGTTGCTACAGAGCACTTAAACTCAGACGCTCTGTTAACAAACGTTCTTAAGGCAATTATTTATATCACAATTCCCCCAATATCGCATTTTCTTAATTAGGGCTTACAACCATTCAAAATAAACATTTAAATAGACAATAATTTTATTTTAAAAGTCAACCAAATTGTGTTATCAAGTTATACTTCAAATAATTATACAGATTCTTGGAGTGTATTACTCTGTGATCGTAGAAAGTTTGAATGAGCTCGTGAATGGACAGCGTCGTGCGATCGCTTAGCTTACAAACAGGTATCTTATCATTAGTAGAGCCTCGTGGACTTAAATGACATTGGCAATACATAGAAACACAACAACTTAAAACACAAACCGTTAATTTTATGCAATGTTCGATAAGGTATTTAATAATTAATTTTTTAACAAAAGATCGTAGCCGTGTTTTATAAAAATAAACATTGAAATTCTAATTAACGTGATGCAATAATAATTGAATGTCAACATTTCAAAGAAGCCGCTTACAAACGCCAAAACATTAGATAGCATCTTAATCGCAACACCCACGTTTGATACACAATAGATTCTATAAATTTTTTTATAAATAAAAACATCTCGATCTGTTATGTCATGGAAAACAAAATGATTGATTTACGTCAATTGTTAAGCATAAAAAGTAACAATCATTTTGTATGAGTAATGCGTTTTTTCATCGATGAGGACGTTTCAATTTAGGAGGTCAATGTTGTTGCTAACTCAAAAGTTTATATTTAGATTATTTTAAATAAAAAAAAACTATAAAACACCGATAGCTCAAGTTACAATCCTAAAATAATAACAAGAATATGGAAATACTCATACACAGATAACCAATAAATAAAACTAATTTTATAATTCGTTTCAGATCCGAAATGGGCATTCCAAAAATGCTGGTTATGGCAATAAGCATCGCAGGGGCGATGGCGTTTATCCCCCATGGTTCTATTGGGGTAAAGGTAACGTATAATTATAATATTTACTAATCTTTTATTTAATTCTATTAAGCTACTTGGGGCTATGTTATATTGTGTGAGTTTTTGGTTAATTTCTACAGCCAACCATCTGACTGGTTCTAAACATCGTTGGGAGAATTAAATGTAACATTCCACAATAGCTACAAATAACATTTTATTAATTATTATATCAAAACAATAACTTCTTCTCGACATTATGGCATTTGACCGTAACAAAATATTATTCTCAGGAGCATATGCTGACCGAAGCATTGCTTCGTGAGGTTGTTGAGCGCATGGGTAAAGACTTCAACGACGCAGCCTCAACGTATCTTGATTTCCCAAATGACAGACATCTTTCCCTGATGTCCCGAGCTAATAAGGATGTGGAGCACGAACAACTGGACTACGATTCCCTAATTGATGGTAACCCTAACCCCAGCCTCCGCGATCAAGAATACTTGCAGCACAGGTAATATCTTATATATAAAATATTAGCTAATAAAGCGCAAATCAAGCTAAATTTTGTCCAACCTTTGTGCCTACCATGTCTATTTGGTAATAAGTTAATCATTATTTTTATTTAGTTCGTTATGGGGTCATCAATATGTAAGTGGAGGTGCTGGGGAAGGTGAACAGCGTCTGCAGCCATCAGGTCTAGTGGCAAACCGACAGCTTATAAAAACCGATGCAGTCTTACCCGCATACTGTAATCCTCCTAATCCCTGTCCCGTCGGTTATACTGGTAAGTTATTCAATAGATAGATAAAGATTGTATGTCATGAATGAGACATTATCATTAAATTAATACAACTTAATCTAAAACATGACCTTTATTGTAGAAGATCAAGGTTGTATCAATGACTTTGAGAACACAGCTGCTTTTAGCCGCGAATATCAACTCTCGCAGCGTTGCATGTGCGATGGTGAACACATGTTTAGCTGTCCTCCAGAGAATCCCTCTGATCTTGATTTGCGTTTCCCTGATCACCACAAAAATTTGGTGGCCAAAAAATACAAAGAAGATGTAAGATGTTATTTGATTAATTTGCGAGATATGACAAAACCATGTTTTAATATAAATTTAATAGTGATTATAATTTTAGGTGGAAAACCCGTACCTTCAGGGCGAACGCCTTCCCATAGCAGCCAAAAAGGGTTTCGATGTTCACGTTTACTAAGCATAACCTATACTTGCATTCTCTTATTACATTTAAATGTATCTTAAAGATAATATAAACATATAAAACGTAATCTCTTATCACCTTGACATTGCAACCTCATAATGAAAGTACGGTTTGGTATTCGATTGTTATGGTAATGTTAAACATCTCAGAGGTGGAACACTTTATGATTTTATAATTACTTAGAATTGATTTAGAGGATCTGTTTTTATTCATTTATAATTTTAGAAGTTAGGTTTTTTTTCGATGAGTTTATAAACGCTAAAATTGAAGCTGTGAAATGCATTTAGTTGTAAAGATATTGTTTGTCTCTCGTTAGAGTTAAGTTGTACATTGAAAAACTTAAGTGTCAGCGACCAAACACATGAACGCGAGTAGTAATTAATATTTAAAATTTGCGGGAGTGAATAACAAAATTATGTATAGGACATCTTAATATGACCCCGTTATAGTTAATAAAGCTATAGATAGGGCTATTAATTTAAGACATTCTTTTCTATTTTAATACGTTGTAAAATTTTATTTTTATAAAAACCAATGTGCTTTGTGGTAGTTTCATAGTTCAGATAGACATATAGGATTTTGATTTAATTGTAAGCTTCTTACTTATTGGAGAATGTTTTAGTACATACACATATATATATATATCTATATATAAATATTATATTAATATTTACGTATATATTTTGTACATTCAGAAAATGGCGGATCGTCTCGAAATACTTAAACGTTCAACAAAACTATGACTATGTATAAATTAAGATCTAAAATTGCAAAATTCTTAAAGGTAATTAGAATTTTCGCTTTATTTGTTGGCTTAACAGCAATAAGTGCATTAGATAAAGTGCCCTTTTTCTTTTTTTATTTCATTTAATTTTATATTTTTTATACATATATGTTTACTGAATATTTTCTTCATGAAATACTTAATCCCACTTTTTTACGATTGAATTAATGATATCTTACTATTACTAAATGTGCACTCATATTTATGTATATTTATATATAATACATAAAATACAAAAAATACAAAAAATATTATATTTATAATCTTAACAGTTTTGTTAAAAAAAATATTATGGTTAATAGAAATATGAAAAACAGTAAAGACAAGAAAACCTCATAGCTCTATATTATAGATATATGTAAGTTTATATATATAGTGATATATATAATGTTACTGAAAAAGTAATCAGTAAATACACAATGTTATCAAAATAGTCCCAAAGGTCTTCCTTAGGTCGGATAATTAAATTTATTTGTATATAATTAAAACTATTAATATTTTACTTGTACTATTTTTAAAGGCATCTTATTATAGTAAAAACGTTAAGTCAAAGTATAATAAATATATTATAATTTTTATCTTAAAATACTACTTTTCTCATTAATTGACAAAATAAAAAGTAAAATTATCAACAATACCGGTAAAAAATTTGGCGTATATCTACAAAACTGCTATATTTATAGTAATATTATCGTATAATGTTTAACTTTTATAAATATATTTTTTCTTTAGACATAATATATATAGTATGTAGTATAACAAAATATGCTCTACAATATTGTGATATGTCGCTAAGATTAGCTTAGATAGTGTACATTGAAAGTCGAAATATGAAGAATTCTAGTCAAAACCGTAGTGTGTACATATTTAGTCTAGTAGATTTGTAAGTATTATAATAGAAGTAATAGTTGATATAAATGTATGCGTTACCGTCACGCGGCCATGATACTTTACAAAACTTTATTGATAAGAACTACGTTCATTCTACTTCTAATTTAAAAAATGATTATCTTGAAAGAAAACCATAATTACAAAAACCCAAAAGAAATTAATAGTATAATATGTGATTTAAAAATATAAACTAAGAATGAGAAAATATATGTATCTCACACTTTTGTTTAGAACTCAAAGAAAACTAAATAACTTAACAGAAAAATAAAACGATATTTTCCATCACGTAATAATTTCAAGTAATTATTATTAATAAAATTTGATTACTTTAAATTATTTTATTTTGATTTAAAGTAATTTAATGACAGAGTATGTATCTTTAAATATAACACACATATTAAAATATGTAAATATAATTTCAAATGTAAATCGCGTGTATTTCTTAGTTGAATAGTATTTTCAGCTGATATAAAATTTACGAAAATATTACCAATCAAAGTTTAAAATGGAAGGAATAAATCAAAATGAACTTTTTATCAAAACTTCTAAGATATAAGAAAATATTTTAAATTCACATTATTGTTAAGTCAGAGTCACCTAGTTCCTAGGCCAAAAAGAAAAGTTACTTACAACCTAAATTAAATACTTCAATAGATAACAGCCATTGGTTTATTTATTTTTAAATTTCTTTCGTAAATTAATTGCACAGAGATAAATAAAATGGAAAACAAAAAAAAAAAAAGAACTGAATCCATATTTACTTTGCTACAATTATTAAGATTTCATTTGATTATTTATTTTTTCTTGTAAATATTGTATATTATACGCAAATATAAGACAGAGACTATATCATATGAAAAGATAAAGACAGGAATACTAACATCTTTTTATTAAAAACAAAAGTAACATCGCATTAACATTTCAACGCCTATTTAAAATTCGATAATTCTAGACTCAAATCGTTTCACACATATAAAATTCTAATTTTGTCCGTCTTTTATCATTTCTGGCGTACTTCTTTATGGCACAAACGTGAAAGTATAAAATCTACTGGAAATTATATGAATAATTAATAAACCACAATACCTCGATCCAACAACAAAATATTGATAAGAACGTAATATTAATATACAGAACAAAACGTTCAGATTTTTCTAGCCACATGTAAAGTTTTTCATCACTTGACTGAAATTTTACAACTTTCAAATTCTTGACCCTTACATACTTAACTTTAAATACAATACTTTTTCTCTTGTTTGTTAAATTGTACATATGTAACTGTTTTGTGAAAATTGTATGTTGTTAACGAAAAAGCATTTACACGTGGCGAGAAATGAATATATTTTTGTATAAAAATAATAAAAGAAAAAAAAAAGATAAAAAATGTACATACTTGAAAAATATTCGATCACGTAGGTTACTTGAAAAGCGCACGAGGCTCATCTAAGCTGGAGCTAATCTTTAAATACTCTTATAAGAGAGTGCTAAGTTTTTTGTAATTTATAGCTTTAGTCACATTGTAAAAAGCGTGAGATATAGCAACTCTTGAAAAGGCTAACAAAAAGCTAGATACCAAAGAAATTTTAGTTTGCGAGGGTTGAATGACCAAAAGTATATCTCTTATACAGTATTAATATAACATTTCATGAACATTCAGTTAACAAAATATAGTTATAATATATTTTGTTTCAATTTTAACATGTAATTTTTAAAGCTTGAAAATGTTATTTTTTATCCATGACCTTTTTATAAAACTTATTTAAGCCTTATCGCGCCCTGTATATTTTCATGTAACCTAATTTATTAAGTAATTATTAACCCTATAAATAATTTTGTGTAGGTTTCGCATGAAAACGAAAATTTGTGAATTAGTCTGTTGTCAATTTTATTTCAAATTTCAATAAGGGCTGTATTTTTGTCAGATATGTCTTTCATCCCTCGTGTTTTAGATAAATCTTTATCGTTAATCTATTTAATAAGGATTCCTACAAAATGGCGAGATAATTAGGGAAGATTGGAATACTAGATGTTTAAATTAAACTTAATTAAAGAATATTTTTATAATATAGTACTGTATGGTGTATAATTGTAAAATAATATAAGCTTATACTTGCGGAATTATTTTTATATTAAGGACACAAATACTTTTTTATTCGTTATTTATTACTTGAAAGGTCTTTTAACATTTATTTCGTTAGGTTGTTTTTATGACTATTATGAGTATTGTTTATTGCTATGGATACTTAGATGAGAAATCTAGAATATTATAAAATGTCTAAAGCAGAAAGTACTAAAACACCCAGGGACAAACAGCCTAATAATAACGAGACCTAAAAAGAATGCCCATACCCAAATAGCTTATGTAAAAAATCACTTCAAGCGTTTCTAACCAATATATTGAAATATAAAAAGAATCTTTTTGTGATTAGACTTAAATACATAGCTTGACGTCTCTTTTAGTTATTATTTTTATATCTAAATTGCTATATTGTTCTGTTTCTTGTAAAAAAACATGAGTTTTATAAATAAACTGAAGAACATATTTTCTTTATGAGTTACTTATTAATCTAAACTAAATTAGAATATTAAGAAAATGTACAAATAACATAAAAACACAATGAAAAATAAACTTTGAAGTTTAAGAAAAACCTGGGCTTCGGCTTGCAGTGCTAAATATTAGAAATATATATATATATATATTCATAACAGTGCCCTAGCAATACGCCTTTTATATATATTATATTTATTTCTTTACACAGATTTTTCTACTTTATCTTAAATATACTTTTAATGGATTATTTCTTTAATTTACTTACATTTTTGTATGTCACTATACGTTTAGACCGATCACAAGTAAGTGCTTTTTTACGGTTCAATATATACATATATATATATAATTTGTCATTATTTATTATTCCTACCAATAAAATTTAGAATAAGCATGTAAGTTATAATTTTAGGTAATACGTTGCATTAAAAATAAATAGCCAATGTAAATAGAAAAATCTCTTAATTCTATATTATGGTTTTGTAAATAAGTTAATATTAAAATTTAAGAAAATATATTTTTACGTAAGAATCTTGTAAAAAGATAAATGTTTATTCCAATCGTGGCTTTTTAAATGTTATTTATGTATAGATAACCGTAGAAGAGTAGAAGATTGTACAATCATTTGATGTGACTACCGCAGGCAAAATAACTATAAGGAAAGCCTGGGCTGCGGCTTACAGAGCATAGAAATAAGCTTATTTAAGGTTCCATTTTATTATTTTGTATGGAAATTTTATTACTTTTAATATTTACATCATTTAGATTCAGTTATCATTACATTTTTTCAACTAATCATAAAGTGTTGACATTAATTGTTTGTGAGTAACGATGGCAAAGTTCGTAGGTATGTCAATGAGGTTGCAATGTCACTAATTTTCAATTTCTATTCAAAATAAAACCTATATTCGGTGTCAGTGTTGTTTTAATTAATATTCGCTCCTATTGTATCTAATGAAAGTAATTTAATTTTTCGTATCTTAATAGCCTGTGCAATAGTAACTAATGTTAATCCTTATGAGATAAAACACAAAAAAATAAGTTTTAACACTGAAAAATTTTACTGTAATAAAGTAGCTACATTTTTAAACATTTAAATTACTAAGCTAGACACTAATAATTTCGTTTTTGTTTTAAAGCGTGTTGCATTATAGTCACCGCTCAGTCTCTTCATATATACGTATAAACAACAGTTTGATTATCATGTTCATTAATGCATGTATCATTATATACATATTATTTCGACATTTACATACATTTTATTTAGATATGTATCAAATAAAGATACTTAAATAATAATTAAACCGATCAGATAAAACTTATATTTTTGTGGATCTCCAGCAAAAGACAAAGATTAAAGCCATATGAATCTTTTTACGCCATTGCGATAGAATATCTTTGTTATCACAACGAAGTATCAAAACAAGAATACTCTATTTTGATATAAATTATATATACACCTAAACATCTTCATACATTAAATTAATTGTAAGGATCCCATCAATAAAACCAACAATAAAAACAATTATTTAAGCACATTAATAACGTTTTTTATAAAAAAAACTTTATTCTATAAAAAAAATCATAACTACTAAAATGATTTAGAAATGAATCAAGAACTTCATCTGATATTAGTGCAGTCTTAATAAAAGAAAACCTATTTAAAAAAAGGAAATGATATTTACGAAATATTTTTTTACTACATTTGACATAAAATAATCCCGATCAGAAAAGTATTCATAAACTTTTAATAATGAGAGCCTAAAATAGGTTTAAACACTAAAACCCAAGACTTGCAATACATTTGCAATATTGACAAAAATATGTATATTAACTGTGCTAACCACTTTTAGAAGAATAACTCAAGAGGATGGTTGGGGAATATTTACAAGTTTGAAAAAAAAGGGTAAAGTCTAAGAAAATGCTTTATTACATATATCTTTTTGTTTTATGAAAAATAGATTGATGACAAAACCAATGGCTGTTAATTACAAATAACGAGATTTAAATTCGGCAAGAAGACATTTTACCTTGATCAATATAAAAAAATAAGTCCATTATTTTTTGAGAAATATTACAAAAGTTATAAAAGATAGAATAAATGTCTCATTAATATTTTTTTAATTGTTACAATATTCCATTATTTCGACTCATACAACACATAAACATAATTTTATATTCATAAATATATATAAATTAAAAATATAAATATGTACATATTCTGTACTACATTGTAAAAACATTAAATAATGTAGTAGATAAATTGTATCATTATTCTGAATTGAGTTTAATAATATATATGTATAAAGGATTTACATTTTTACTACAGATATTTTTTTAAAACTATACATATGTAAAACTCATACAATCCGAACATTTTAAGGTTAAAATAAATGGGTAAAGGTTTACTTAGTGATATCTTTATCAAGATACACTCGTCAAACATCTCGAAAGAGAACAATATATAAATTATTATTAAATAAACAAATGCAAATATGCCTGGAGAGCAAACAGAGATCATTCAATTAATATTTTTATACATTTATTTGTATGAAAGTTACATTTAAAAAGTTGAATGTTCACTTTTTGCAAACTATAAATTTTAATAAGCGTATTTTTATATTACATACTTAAAATAAATAAAGTAAACCTGCTGAGTAGAGTTCAAGAGCACAAATACATCTACGTCTAATATCACATTTACTCTCAGGAGTAACATAACGTGTAGGTTTAGTTGAACTACGCATTTAATTACGAAAGTAACACAGATTTTTCCACTGTTTTTATCAAAATAATTTTGAAATGACCTCAATGTCACCAGTCACCAATTTTAAAAGAATTAATCAGTGTCACTACAGACAATTAAAGCTCCAACTTCACTTGCAGCTAATGCCGCTCTATAACAAAGTTATAACGAACATTCTGCATCACATTACGTCATTTCTATTGACGTATGAGAGCACGCGATCTGAATATGTTTAACAGTCCGCTTCGTGCTTGCACTATCATGCGAGTAATAATGAATTCATAATCAGAACACAAGGATACAATATCATTACAGCGCCCTAACCACACCATATTTTTGCTTTTCCGATCTCTTCGTTACGTATGCACTAGGCACAAACCTCGGATCCAAATCACCAATAGATCCAGACGGATTATCCGCCTCTGTACGGAGGGTCTGTCGTCGAACCCGTATCAGTTTACACCCACTGGAAGACACTTGCACTGTTTGATTTTTTGTAAGCGCTTGCGTCTAAATGGAGGATTCTGTCCAGGGCAGCGAAGCGTAACAGTAATCCAGGTAAACTTTTTTGGTTTGCAAAATGAACAAGATTTAAACGCAGGTGGAGGTCGTTCGTCGTTTCCTTCGCGACGCCGTGGTCCTTTGGGAATATAAAACGAATTACATTGCCCGTAACAGAAATTATTAATCACTGTCGCCTGTAAACATCCTGGCTCCCGAATTTTTTGAATCAACTGCTCGGTTTTACACCAATCTTCTTTAAGATATTCTTTTTTCGTAACGAGTAATGCGTTTTTCGAGGATCGCAGTATATTTCGAAATGCAGCTCCTTTTGGTATCTCTGTAGATTCCTCTTGATCTGGTACAGAAACAACCATAGTTTCAGAGCTGCCTTCACCAAGTTCGTTTCTTTGAACAAAAGTTGAAGAAGCCGTCGCTTCCTCGGCGCGTTGTCGAGACGCAATTAGCCTTTGTACTTGTTCTGTATCGATAATATCCAAAATCGAATCAGTAGGCGTAAAAGGCCTTTTGCTTCCAACACCACAACTTATATCGCCAGCAGCCAAAATCACCGCCACAAAGAGCCAGATGCATCGTCTTAAAATGCTCTCCATCTAAAATAAAATATATATACATATGTTATAAATAAAAATAAAACTTAGAAGGTTCTCAGAGAATTTGTCGTAGGTAGACGATAACTTACGTTGTAATGAGAGACAAGAGCAACAAATCGTAGGCAGTAGTGCGTCGGTGAAGTCCGCTACTAGTGAGCAACGCGTTATGCGTGTGCACAGGACCGGCCGGCGAAGCGGTAATGAGCGTGAGCGCCCCTCAATGGACCACCTCTCAATGAACAAGATGACTCACGCACCGCGCCTCCACCACAGAACCGTTACTACAAGCAATTATCACAGACGTGACACTTTGAGCAAATGTTTTGGATTATTGCTGGAAAATTATGGAATATTTTAATCTGTTGGCTTAAAAATTATCTACTTTAATTCTAACATAAAAACAAACATCTGTTTGTAAACAATGTTTCGTCATTTGTCCGACAAATATTAGAGCGTGTTTCTTAAAACTGATAAGAGCATTAAGGGCTTTTGTCTTTTGTATGTAGGCCATAAAAAAGTACCACGAAAGTAAGATAAGCAAGCTTCCAAACAAAATAAACTGTTAACAGAAATCAATCCTTAAAGTTAAATAATTTTTAAATAAAGGTAATAAATGTGCTTTTTAAATGCCAGCAATGACTAAGTATAAATCTTTAAAAGATCTACCTTATATTCTTTGACAGGGAAGTCGGTGATATTTTCTCACCTATCGCCAGGCGCCAAACAAGCCAATGTTTTGTCACAGGCGCCGGCGCAGATGCCTTACTGATCTTAAAACTACGTTTCCGCCCATCTGCTTCCCACAATGCCCATAGAAACTGGGCATCCGGAGCCTTCTGCGAAACGTAGGCTGTATGTGGGTGAAACTTAACCGCTTTTTAAGCTATTCATGTAATAAGTTAATTTATATACTTAAATTATAGCATTCATGCTCGTTTAAATAACAAACAATTGTTTAAGAAACTTATTAACCTAAATAATACTTCAAATATAAATCTCACATTCTGAAATACCTAAACCTATTTACAAAATATGATTTCTTTGATTTAATTGTCGTTTATCAATATTATGGTACAAAAACGCTACGAAATACATATATTATAATTATATATACATGACAATTAACAGTGCAAACAAAAACTAACAATAAGAAATATTTGCATTGTAAAATCAAAGCGCCGAACGTGACAGGATACAAACTAAAATATTTTACGGTGTTTCAACTAACGCAACTATTCAACCAAGGAAGTTCTTTGAAAAGGCTTTTTATTGAGGCGCTTAAGATACATCGGAATTTCATTCATCAACCTCCATTCATTATAGTTTTGTCCACCCTAAAAAAAATCAATGCGACCCTTGGAGGCGTACCGTCTACTAAACCTATTTAAACAGGATGTTTTTAGACTCCATAAAATTTTAAAACTATGTTCAAATAAATTTAAAAAAAATCTTTCCTACTTCAATATTCTTAGTTCTTATTCTTCAATATACTTATAAGGCAATGTTTTTTCTCAATAATTTCAAAGTGTTTTTCCTAATAAGAATTTGGTGAAGTAAATTATATGAAAATTTATATACCAAAAAAAAAAAAAATATGAAAAACGTACCGAAAATGTCCCGAAATATTTTTTTTTTCCCTAGGCAGTATAAGTTGTTCTGAATGAATTTTTGTATTTACATTTAAAACTCTGCACCACACAATATGAAATTATTAAAATATTTTAATAAAAAAATATTTTACACCATTTATAGAAATGTCATTTAAAATAAATTAAAGATTTAACACTTTTAGATAAAGATTTGGAAGTTATCTTTATAGTTTTATGCATAGTACAGCACACTTGGTCTCATTAAACTAGTATTCTATAATATAAGTATATAAATCATATAGAAATGTCTTCAGGATATCTTTACCTTTAGAGTTTTCTGTTCACATCCTGTACAAATCGGTATGTGACCACTAATATAATTTAACAAAAATACACATAAACCGACACTTCTAGGAAACGATTACAAAGTGTAGCCGTGGGACATTGAGTTAAGCTTATTTGGAATTTAGGTGTTAATACATAATATGTTAACATATTCAAACAAACATAAATAATTATTAAAGATAATTCATACGATACTTTTAATAAGTCGTAATGAAAGAAATGAAAAAGAAGTTTATCCCAAACTGTCTCCAACAGTTATATAAAAACTTTCAATTGATTGAAATAATATTTTTCAAAGAAACTAGGAGAAATTATTATGAATAAAACTTACATATATTTCATTTAAGCAATTCATTGTAAATTTAAATTTATTTCACTATTATTATAACGAACATTGCAATAAATTTGCCACTTGCCTTTTGTTATATCAAACGACTGAATGTAATGCTTCCACTTATATATAAACTTTATTCTTATAATCTCACTTTCAATGTATAACAACTAAAATTTGGTTCTACATATACATACATTGTAATAGTATTCTTTTAATTTACCTACATATCACAAAAAACTGGTCTTCCATTTTAAAAATATCTTTATACAACAAATGTTTTCCATTAATTTGGAAAAATATGTGTTTTATCGTATGTTATAATTAAATTTTATTCTTAAATAAGTGTTATAAAACTGTAAAGCATGCACTTGCATAAAGTCCACAAACAGTTCATATTTATTTTGATTCGTCATTGTCACTCGTCAATTTGTACGTGAAACGCGTCCGCCAGGCGCCAGCATTGTGTAATGTGTTATAATACTAGAGATAACACATGGATATGTTCTGTATTTTGTAATAATTAAATTATATATGTATATGTATGTATTTTGTTTATCTCTAATTGCTGGTTTATCTACATGTGACAACTGATAGTTAAATGTAAATTCAAATCTTAAAATTTTAAGTTTTAATTTTGTTTTCACTACTTGCAATGTAAGGCTGAATACGTCATAAGAAAAAAATATTCTTAATATTTTACAAAATTTATATGATATACGCTATATATCAAGTAACTTTAATCACAATCGCTTTGATCATCGAAGTACCTCACCGGCGCCGTCGTAGTGCCCGCATAATGCCAACCCACAAAAAAAATACAGCCAGCAAGGAGCCGAATTAATAAATCGAAATTCCGCATATTTATTCCTAACAAATAACAATTTAGTTACAGCTGTCAGATATTTGTATAGATTGGAAACTTTTATATTTACCCATTTAACCTTGAAAGCAGCATCAAATACCTGGCTTAATACGACCAGATTATAAATCAAAATGGTAGACCCTAACAACTCATGACATAAAATCCTTTATATTCACACGAATGGGAAGAAAAAAATATGACATTCTATAGCTGCAACCGAAGCTCTACGCTTCGAATTTCATTACAGGATTAAACATTTTTGGTTTCTTTGTACACATATCTACCAATTAAAAAACGCAATGGGATTGACAAAAAAGTATATTTTATAAAAGGGCTTTAAACGTTTCTTGGAATTGTATAATACATAGTATAAAATAACAACTGTTTTAAATAATAAAAAATAGTCAAATAGCTTATAGGGAATCATAACAATGACATTATTGAAACTTAAAATAAAATATATGTATTTAAAGAACAACTATTTTCATCAAATACGATATAAACTTTATGTCTTCCAAATTGGCGTGCCTAATCCGTATGTGTTTAACAAAGTATCCATTTAATTGGCGTTATATTCACACGTTACCAAAAATAAACCACTATACTAGCAAACTAAGAACCAACTGACCTTATGTCTAGACGTGTCTGATACGCACATCATGTGAATTTAATACAATTTTTATAACGTGCATCACACGATTTACGATATGGCTGTCGATAACTGATTCAATTTCCGGATATTTATATACCTTAAATAATAGGAATATGCTTTTCACAAACTTTATTAAGACTATTATCTTCATGGCTCGTTGTAAACAATAAAATTTGTTTTAATACGCTTGCGATTGACACAATAAAGAAAGGCTGTTATAAAATAAAATATTATAACCAATATTGTAAAAATAAAATAAAATAATGTTAGTAAAGAAAAAACTATAGATTTATTATATTATTGATTTCAGCTTCTCTAGACCCAAATTAAAATATAATATCATTAACATGCATTTTTTTTGTGTTTGTGAAATTTTACTCTGAATTACCTAGAGGCTTAAATTTGAACAGTTCTATGCTTATAAAAATGCTTTTAAATATTGCAAATAAATAGGTATGGCAAATGTTTGACAGTTACTTTGGTGTGGGTTTATTTAACGTCAGAAAAAAACTGAACTTTCTATTCCGATAATTCGTAAGACGCCAGGATACAACAAGGACAATAATCGATAGACTGAACAATTAAGCTGAGGTCAAGTTAGGTTAATACTAAGAAATGTGTGGTATAATTTATCTTTATATCAGATATTGTTAAGTAATTATAATTGCAAAATCAGCCCACAGGATCTAATTAATATTTTGTAAAAAATACTTTCATATTTTTAAAAAATCTCTATATTAAAACTTGTGAAAAAAATTATTTAATGGCTTTTGGATGGAAGACTCGTTGACTGGTTGAAAAATACAGAGCCCATAATAAAATAGTTAATAGATATTATATATAAACTAGATGAGTAGCTCTTAACGCGACTTATCAGAAAATACAAGCCACACCAATAAAATATTATTGTGAAAATATTTTTTTAATTAAAAGTTCGTAAATTGTCTGTCGTATAATAAGTGAAATTCAAATATAAGCATAAAGGAGAAACTAGTCATTGGAAACGAGTTTTGTTTGAGTTATTTTTTTATATGATTTTTTATTTTGTATGTAAACCTCTTATTTCTTATTCCTTGCAGACTTTCATCCTTTCAGAATCCCGATTAACTCATGATCTTATGTGTCGTACACTATTTCTCGCTTTCTAAACCGTATTTTGATAGTGATTACTACTATATACATTAAAAGATTTTTTACTAGTAAATTAGATTGATGTAATCGATATTGGTATTTTTTTATAATTAATTATTCATTATTAACCAGGATGAAATTGTACGAAAAACTATTGAATAGTTCTATAAGTTATAAATATAATAATTGAGCCGTTTCCAAATCTACTTCTCTTGTAGTAATTACATTATTTCGAAGTACTTGTCTAGATTAAGGTATAAGTTTTGCATTTATTACGTAAATTAATATAGGATTGGGTTCTTTAAAAGTTTTCAGTTAGCCCATAGCTTTTCCAAGAGACATATAAAAGAGTCATAATATACTCTAATATTTTATTAATTATATTTTTATAAAATATATTTTTCCTTATAATTCATTGAGCCATATACATGTATATGTTTTTAATCATTCTTCCTTCAACACTCATTATTCGCTCTGACGCATACTCTCTTAATACTTCCAATATTGACAACATTCGGATATGGAGTGGTGACGTCACCAATAATTGCATATTGTGATACTATGGACCCACCACTGTGTAATTAAAACTGTCACAAAAACATTATGACGTAAGTATTAAAGCGGCATCTCAGTCTTAATGTGTAGCGTATTATTTTATATATAGTGGCTAGACTGAATGTAATGTTACTTACAATTTATTCAATATTAATACAATTTTCATCACAATACAAATTTATAACTCGCCTTAATATGCTTAGGTAATATTTATTTTAATTATAACAATTGCTCCGAAGATAGAATAATGACGTAAGTATTAATAGTACATTGTGCCGTGGACGGTCGTGATGAAATAATGGAGTGGTAATTAAAACTGTCACGGATTCTGCCGTGGTCAGTTTTTTGTATAATTACTTCTATGACTGTATAAATATTATTTTTATTCAGTTATATATTTATTCGTGTTTTTATTGCACACAATATAATTATTAAAATAGCAACGCTATAGGAGGGAAGAAAAAGTTACCGACTAATCAATTACATCCTGGCAACTTTTTTGAATCGGACATATAAATATAAATAAAACGTATAAATAAATTTCGAATAAAATGCGCTAGTTTTTAATGAATGTAAATATATCAAACAGAAAAACAATGATGAGTATTAAACTATTAGTATTATAATGAGGAGTATTATACAAAGGAAAATGGACAGCTATCAAAAATAATTTTGAAAAAATCAACAATTAAATCAAATGTTAGAAGTCTCCGAAACTGTGTGTGTTGTACTTCAATTTAAGTTATGAATATAATCATATAGTATTAACATAAATAAGTATGTATAAAATAGCACCAAAAGTGATTTTTTTTTTCAATTACAATCACTCACTGGCCACTTTTATTTCATATCTATTAAAAGTCTCAAAACACGACAGAACTTAATGTACATATAAAATGAGTAAAATCTCCTAAAAGGTAGGTCTAGTTATAATGGTAGTGTAAATAGCAGTATAATTGGTAGTGTAAACATTGTGTTTTGTTACATATTAAATTTAAGTAAATATATTGAAGGCAATACTCCTAAAACTAGATGTAATCTTCTATATATATAAAAATGGATTGCTGTTCCTTAGTCTCGCTAAAACTCGAGAACAGCTGAACGGATTTATCTTATCTTAGTCTTGAAATGTTCTTGGAGGTTCAGGGAAGGTATAAAAGCTGAAAAAAATTGAATCATTTCCGAGAGAACCCTATAAACAACCCTTTTCTATTTTCCATACAAACGTTTTCTTTGACATTAGATTTGACAACTAACTAAAATGTCAATCATTCTGATTGATTGAAACACGAAAAAACTTGATTATTTATGGCCTCCAAGACGGAATAGAGTTCGCCCGTTCAGCTATACATATATTACTAATGACGAAACTAACGCGGACGAAGTCGCGGGCAAAAACTAGTCATACATATATTTGAACAGATATCAAATACCCATTGACACTATTGACATGTTTTGTATGGCAGTTTAGATCTAGCTTTACGTTTAAATGTGCTATAATGAATAAACTTCTCAACTAAACAATTCTCAGTACTGTAAGCCTATAATTTGTGTAGTTTATCAAGAATTTGTGTACAATTGAGCGACTTTTAGAATTCCTTTTTATTGACGTTTACATTATAAATGGACGTGACGTCTCAAAAGTCATTGTAAGTAAATAATACATCAAATTAAAGTTGTCATCCACAAGAAGTAGATTTTTAACAGAAAAAATATCAAAAATTAGTTTTATTGTAGTTGAATATATTGTGTGTCTGTCTGTCGCATAGTAACTCTTAAATGCTTTGAATTCACTGTATTTTATTTATTTGAAATTTATCTGGTTATTATAACAGTAGTGTAAGCGTTAAAAAAAGTTATTAAAAGAGCTCATGCTCTTTACAGTAATCAAGGTAATTTTCGTCAGTGATTACTCGATTAAGTATCATATTGATGAGAGTATAATCGTTAAATTAAAATTAATGATTTTGCTATTAATACAAACATTTGTTCTGAGTCTCAAACCACCTACCTCTGAGATGATAAAGTCACATACACCATAACTAGAGGTACAAATTATTATTTACACAGAACTATTGAATATGATATACAATTAAGTAAGCAAGTAGATATTATGATAATATTTTAATAACAGTTCACGTCTTAGTAAATGTTACGTACTAAGTTTATTAAATTATGTTCTTATTTACATAAAATGCAATATGGTAATGGATTAAATTAATACATCTATGACTGAGATATAAAGTGCAAAATGTTAAATAACTTATTGATACTCAATGAAAAACTAAAAGTAGCAACAAGCGGGGGGCTTCCTAGAATATATTTAAATTTTATAAACTGTATAATACGTATAATTTTATTTACTATATTAAATTATTATCATTAAGATTTATTATGTTTACAATTATGTCGTATCATTTTAAACTAGTAGCGTGATTATATATTAATACAGTCTCATAATCAGAACCTTGCTTATCAAGGCCAAAACTCCTCTGGATAATCGCCAAACTCAAAATTGCACGAGATTGATCTTGCAATAAAGACCGAAATATAAAATCGGCACTATTACACAGTTTTAGTTTAATGAAAGTATGTATAATATATACAATTAGATATTTATTGTAAATAAGTTTTCATCAAATCAAAAACAGTCAGAGAAGAAATGATTTGAACTAGAAAAATATTTTAAGACCTTGTCGCTAAGCTTATGTTTGGCTAGGTACAGAAAGTATGTGTTTGGTCGTTAAAGATTTTTTAACTAAATATCTCAAATAATTATCAAATTTATCGCATAATAATTTTGATGTGCTATAATTTTTACCACACTTTTCCTGACCCCAAGAAGGATGCTATAAAGTGAGTGCTTGATAGCTATTTCATGTACAAATCCAAAATTTGAGTTGGTTAAACCAAAGCACAGGTTTTAAAATTCCGCCTTTAGAAACGCCTGTAGATTGATAATTCAACCAAGAAAAAGAGAATGCCAATAAAGGACACTATATGTTGTTGGTAATACAATTAGAAAGGAAATAATTTATCACACAAAATCTTAAACTTGAAGGCATTGTGGTAGTTAACCATTGTCATGATCATAAATTAAATGTTTTCCTTAACAATGTACTCTGATTTGAAATAGTGTTATGGAATTTAAGAAAACCAGATTGAAAGAGACTCAAAAGAATTTATATGGATTTCCTGGAAGTGTGTAAGTTTTTTATAAAACTTAACAATCAAGGGTTTTATTGGAAGGAACTACAGTAAAGAAGAAAGGTCTTTTATTAAAGAATAATAATTGAGTATTTCCCAAACTATACGGAAAATAA